CAGAGTCAACCCTGCGTTGCGCAGTTCGCAACGGCACGTTGAGAGATCCTCAACGCACGCTGTATGGGCGGAGACACAGACGGCTCGAGCATGCGAGTGTGAATGTTCGCGCGAGAGAACGTGTCTAATCGGGCGAAACTGCGCAACGTGGCCGTTGAGAACTGCGCAACGCAGGGTTGACTCTGTCCTAAGCCAGACCAACATGATACTTGCGCAGTGATCTCCTCTTACCAGTACTTTTCAACTGCACCGAGATCTTAGCGTGAGATGAACAAGACCCAACGCGAAATAAATGCTTCATTACGGTACGGTATGATATTGATACGGTAAGCCATTGCAGAAGGCATGATGCACATGGTGCAGCACAGAGCCAGGCGGAGAACTAGTTTGAGTTAGCAGAGAATTTTTCGTGTTTCCAAAACACAGTTATACTTATTGGGGCTGGAAAGCAACAAAGGTGTTCATCATTATTCATCAAACGGTTATATTGTAAGGTTTCCAATGTTGATAAGAAAAAGGTTGCGGAGATACGCGAATTATGGCTTTACGACAGGGGTAATTGAATTTAGACCCTCTACGGAAGAGCCTACTTCTTGAACTTGCCACTCGCCTGGCCTGTAGGAAATGTTGAACTGTTCGGTCTCGATTCAAAAGCCGTTACTAAATTCGGTATAAATGAAAAAGCTTAGAGAACAGGAGGAAACTTTCACAAAACCCCACAACACCCTCCTCGAAATTGTTTTCCTATGTTGCTAGAGAAAGTGAAACTAAGCAGCCGTGATGAAGGCTAGAAAGTGCAAGCATTTTTCGGGCTTCGGCTACCACATCATGATCCTTATACAGACTGAATTCGATAGGAATATCTGATTACAGAGACTAACATGAGAAAAAACCGTCGCAAACTTTCTCCACTATGTGATGGGATCGATCGCTGCGAAAAGTCATCGATCATCTGTAGTTATATGTACGGAAACCACCTGTCAAAATGCTAGAAAGTCGTAAAGAACAGAGAACGCTGCTAGCTTAATTCCGGGTATTTTCAGACCCCTACTTAAATGCTAGGCGTCATCTCTCTTGTACCGTTTAGTTGAAAACATAAATTCTCAGAAGTGTAAAGAGACTGACTGAACATCGGCTGGAGTTGGAGTTGTAGTGCTTAATGGAATATTCATAATCACGGATGAAGTTCATTCACTAGGTAGGAGCCACAGGTCGATAGGAGGAGCTCACGTCGCATGGTCATTCAGGAAGTGATTTTAAGCCTAGATGTGCTTTCGAAGTTGGTCTCGAAATGACCTTTCAAACCTGCTAAATGATTCTCTGAGTTAGTTATGAAGCTAAAGAGCGCAACGACAGTTCGGAACTCACAGTCAAAACGTCGTAGGATCGGTCCCTTATCGTAACTACTGTTTGCATTCTTCAGGAATTCAGCTATATAGGCTCTTATAAGGTGTCAGCAGTATTCCTGAAGAACGGGAAGAAGTAAACCCGATAAGTCCCGGTTAGTCCCGACTACTACCGCTGCCCTGCTTTGCTTCATAGCTCCCCTCAAACAATGTTCAAAGGCAAACTCCGGGATTAAACAGGTGCTATCAGCGCTTTGTAGTGATAGCTTAGCTGCGGAACGACCTGAAAGTGGAAAGGAAAGCAAGAGAATCTTTGGAACGCTGAAATTAAGGCCTTAACCTTCAATAGGGTCGGATGTGGTACGATGGCGAGACAGGGCGGTCAAAGAAGACAAAATACGCGAGAGAGCACGTCGTTTGAGAGCACGCTGATCTCTACATCAATGCACGCTGATCTCACCACCTCTCGCGGTGGGTGGGAAGCGTTGGAACGGGGTCGATGGTTGCAGGCCCGTAAGGATTAGCGCCCTAACCGCGCAATTTTCGCGACGAAGCTGGAGTGATCTAGGTAGGTACGGACCTTACAATTTCCCTCGTGGTATCCCTCCTACTAGTCGGGCTAATCCCGGGGTTTGCCTTTCAACAGATTTGGAAGGAAAATTTGAGATCATCGTTTGAAGGCATATCTAGACGCATACATCTCTTCTTGAACAGCCATAGCGACCTGAGAGCCTTTCCTTGATAGTGTGAAATATAACGCTGAATGTGTCTCAAAGCACTGACCCCGGATCAGATTTGCCCGGTAACTCTCTAAGCGAATTTGAGCAGATTCTCCCACAAAGTGTCTTCAGTCAGCAGTGGCGACGTGCCGAATGCGGGTATGGCTAGCTAATGCGATAGCATGGTATGGCGGTCGGAGGGAAGGACCACATCCGAAGGATCGGATCTCTTTTCACTCTTCAATGTTTTTTGATGGCCATAACACACAATTTATTTATCGCCGCTCTATCTTTGTTTTGGATGGATTTGGTATGATTCGCTTTGAACCTCTCGATATTGAGTTTTTGACACAGTTTAATCTATTGCTATTGTGCTTCTTCAATATCAAGATAAAAATCTAGGTACGGCTAGAAACTTAGTCAAAATCCCGCTTCATGGACATTCTGCCACATTTGACTGTGCTGAAACACGTGGAGGGATATTCTCATATCACCGCTCAGAGATTCAACGGGCACGTTCGAGAAGCATATTCAAAACAGGATCAATGTTTCGTGTGGAATTCGGAAGAGGCCAGTATTTGTGATTTTTGGATGGGCGTCGTATTTGGGATTTACATAAAAGGTGACCATGGTGATGTGAGTTGATGGGCCCAAGAGGAGGGAGACTTTTTTTTCGTTTTTGTGTAAATTCTGTACAAAAAGTAGAATCAGCTGTTTTAGTTGCTATAGATATAAACTGTGCCTAGTGGTCAGCTTCCACTGTTTTTTTGAGGGACGGTGGGAGGGACTCATCAAAAGATGCGTATCATTCGATTCAAATATTGCCGAACGTTAGGAATAATTCTGATTCGGAATCAACGTTTGAAAACAGATCAGAATGCCTCATGTTACAGAACCACTCCGATATGGGATACTTTCCTAGCCAGTTATCGCTGAAATCATTCTTCCTCGTGGAGAACTTAAAGCTGCATTTGTCAGTCTAGCGCGCCGTGCTAATCCGCCCCAGTGTTAGCCTCCCACAGTTTTCAGTATCAGAATTACCAGGCACTTCGTTCACAGATTAAATCTTAAAGCTAGCATTTTCATCGCAAAGCAGTGGAGGACGCATCTGAGAAAAAAGGAGTACATTCGTACCATTTTTTACTGCCCACTTTTTTGTCCGTAACATGTTATGGAAATTCCACGCAGTGCCAAAATCGCGAATAACTCTGCAAATTTTGGAAATGTCCATTTAATGCAATATATATCTGTGCACATTCCCTCAAATCCGATAAAAAATTCTGTGGTGTTGGAATTTTCCAAAAGGTATGCAGTGTGATATAAAAACGGAGGGCAGTTTTCGAATGAGAAGTACCAGTGAAAAGCAGTTGGTGAACTGGTCAACAAACCAAAAACAAATCTAGGAACGCGGCGCCCCGGTCGTCACCTGGGATACGCAGTTGGCTATGTCTATTTGCAAGGGTCGCAAGGGTATTTTCGCGACCAATGGTAGTGGTTTCCGCTAAATCAGAACACTAAGCAAATTAAAGTAAACAGACCTAAATTTTTTCAAAACTGGACCAATAATATAAGTCTCAAACGAAATTCCAGGACTATAAGATGTTTAGACCCTGCCGTCCGCTTCCGCTTATTGGCTTGGCTTATTATAGCGATCCTCAACTGTTTTGCCTTGCACTCCTAGCTTTTCTTCAGAGCTTTATTCGCAAAAATTCTATCGCTATTTCGTTTTGCTCTGCATCCGTTCATCCATGACCAAAGTTTGCACCGTGACCATCAAAGTGGCAATCGGATAAATCGCCTATTCACGTAAAGGCAAAAAAGAGTGGGTAAACATGGTGAAGGCGTACTCCAGCATACAATATATGACACTTCCCGACTAGAGACATGCTATAAGCGGGGCAAGGCTGCCGAAGGGGAACACCACAACGTCTCGGAACATTGGTACGCCCACTGGCGCGCACCCTGAACGGATGGTGACAGCAGCATGGTTGATATGAGACTGTGATCCACGCTGTTCAATTCCGATCTTAAGTGCATTATTACGACGATTTTCGAAGCGGCAATCGTATATCGATGCGGATGGCATGATGCCAAATGTTATATTCACCCAAGAGACCTCTAAGTTGGCGGAAAACTCATCCTCTCCCATAATTAATGGGCAAGGGAGGGATTCGCTTTTCGGTTTTTTACCACACCTCTCGCAGTTTTTCTTTTTCATCGACGCGATCTTCCCACCTCCGCCCTCATATCTTACCAATGAAAAATCAGGTTGCTGCCTCCCATCATTGGTTTGCTGCTTGACCTTAAATGGCACACATTTGACTTTAGCAGCTCTGTCTTCAACGAAAGAAGGAGGCTAACTAATCAGAAATTTATATCATTTAATGATGGACACCATGATAATCGTGCCGTGCGGGCGGGTTATTTATGGTTAGACAACTGCGTTTTCCCCATCAGTGCGCCCCTGGTTTTCATAATTTGATAGATGGCCAACGAGTATGGTGCAATGGTCTAAGCAACTCTACACGAGGGTTCGCTAAATACGTCTTGTCCCCGTTGTGGAGCTTTCTGAGCAAGAGCTAGCACTCTTGCTCAGCATTTATAAGCGCAAAATCAGAGTGGGCCTAGACTTATACAATAAAGAAGAACGGGTAGCCCAGGAATCATAGAAGATTCGCCTTTGCACAAAAGACGACGCCAGGATGTTTATGATTCAGAGAAAACTTTCGTCAAAAAAAGTTACTTGGATGATTCGGGTAACATTCAAGAAAGGAGTCAAAGAAACTCGATGATTATGAGGTTTTCAATGAATCAAATGAGTTTTGCAGAGTAGATTTATCTATTTATTCAAAGAAGTCCGGTAAGTAGCAAAACCACAAGGCAGTACAAATGTGGTGTAATTTAGGAATTTGATGAATTGGTAATGAGTACCTTATCGAACTAAATATGAAGTGAGGGTTGATAAAACAGTGTTGAATGGAAAAAATAGTAACATCGGAAAAAATTGTGAATGAAATAGTTTTTGCGACGAAATGATACGTACCTAGTTGTACAAGCATCCGTTCGATGGCGGTGACATTGTGTAGTCGGGTTGGACTAAGCAGTTCGTGTTTGGGTTTCGACTCGATCTGTCGTACCGCACGCAGCAGCGACAATCCCTTTCGCACGGATATTCGGAAATCTTCCTGTAAACGCGCAACATGTTTACTTCACTCTTACTATTTGAACTTCGTCCAAGAATTTCCATACTGACACCATACTCAATCATCCATATTGAAGTTACAGAAAGGTTTAATTCTTATGCCAGAAAAGCTACTAATTAATGCACTCGTGCACATGGGTGAGTAGTTGTGGTACACGCGCACGACACAGTGGATATCAAATGTCGTTTACGGACTACTTGCACTCGGCCATATAAACCGTCTTAATTTGATGCTTCTGCCTGTGCTCTCTCGTCTAAACACCGGCTCACGAATACTGTGATCTCACACATTTAACTGGCCCAGGCACCCCCCCCCCCGAGGTTTATTCGCCGTGTCGCAGATGTGACGTCATACGCATGCGCTCGCGCTCGCGCCGCTCGTGAGCTTCAGCAAAGCTCAGCAGAAAAGTTCACCAGCGGCGCGGACGCGAGCGCGTGCAAATGAGTCACAGCTGCGACACAGCGAGGAAAAGTGAGAGAGAAAGTCTCGCTGCCATTTTGCTCGAATAGTAGATGGGTTGTTGGCCCTTAACCAGCTAGTGCAACCAGTAGTGCCGTGAGCGAAGTGATTGTATCGCGTGTACTAGGTGCGCATAATTTTCGCCCTTGAAAATTAGGAATTTGTTTGCAAATGTGGAGGAAATCAACGGTTTCGTGTTAAAGCCCTAACGAGTGCGCAATTAATCGAAGTTGATTTTAATAATTCCATTCTTCGTTATTACTTCTACTCACTGCACAGTGAAGTCAGAGTCGATAGTGTCTAATACGTAATGTTATAAAGTATTGGCGCCAGCCTTGCTCAATCCCTCGCCGCCGCTGTGACGTCAAAGTGACGTCACCCGCACGCGCTCGCGTCCGGTGAGCTATTCCATAGATTTCCCCACCCCCTAGACTGTAGTTATTCCCCTGGCTCACGTATCTCTTATTTGGCTCCGCCGTAGAAGCTGCGGTAAGCGCCGTTCTCTAATCGTCTGTACTCTAGCCATTCGCGGCGGGAGCATTGAGTAAAAAAGTCCAAGTGGTCCGTTAATCATTGCATAGGGCTAACTGGTGCGAAAGTAAATTTGTGAATGCAGTGCACAGCTGAGGGAATTTTCGCGTGTTTTGCGATAGAATAGAAAGAGAGAGTGAGAAAAAGATTTCGACGAGTACGCCATCCTTTAGCTCATTGCAGAATGAGCAGCAGTGCCTTCTACAGCTCTTAGATCGGTGGTATGTCATAAATCAGTACCTTGATCGCATCCCTTTCTGCTGTTTGAATCTGTAGTATTCTGGCGGTAGTTTCAACATCGTTGGGAAGTTCTGTTTCACGGAGAACTCGTCCAAAGTCGCTCAGTGATTGGGCTATAGCCGACGCTGACGACTTCATACGCTCGATGTCCTGAAATGTGTAGTATGAAAGCAAACAAGGAATCAAGATTTTTTTTTCAAAGTTCAGAAATAGACTGGAATCGTCTTGCTTCAGCTAAGGATGACTAGGTAGAGTCGTTAGGTAGAATGCTAAAATTATATGCTCCATTGATTATTGGGTAAGAAGAAGATCGGTTCCATAAGGCCTGAAAGTATCCCAAAAAGATTGGTCATCAGCGAGGAGGACTGTCTGAAGCTAGTCACAAGTCATCTATTAGCCCCTAACTATAGGTTGAGCATCGTCAGGGTTTCCTCTACGCGCGAATGGAAGAGGGGAGGGGGAGGGGGAGCGTGTTTTGCTTCACGGGATTTTGTGTTTTGGTGAGATGGACAAGGAATAGACTTCCTAAAGTCAATGAGTTTCTTGGGAAGAATGAGAATTTTCCAGAGTATAATAAAAAAGGTGCTGAAATTTTTGAAAACCATGAAGCTTTAGTGTTTTGGGTATAATTCTGCTTTTGTGTGTTTGTTTATAATTTTTATTACGCTACTCGTCGGGCTTTTTTTGTGGGGGGGGGGGAGCTGAATATGTTTCTGGGTAGGATGAAATTAACACAGGGAAGGAGGAACTACCTCAAAGAGGGCAGGCGTAGTTGAGTTATATATAGTCGGTAAAATGAGAAGCGGAATCTTCGAAACCTCTCTAAACATTGAGTAAAAGTTTCCGATGTATGAAACTTTAACCCTTACTTTCTCTTCCCATGATCTCTTAGGATTTAAGGTCGCCTTCACCAACATGATCTTCCAAAATCGAGCGAGATCGAGCACGACCCACTTTCTTGGGCATTTTCAAACAGACGGTTAACCCTGCTCACAACTACGGTTTAATGAATTCACGAAACTGTACAGTACACAGACAGTGTTCGATAGAATGGACTCTGTATTTGGATAGAATCCTTTAAGATTTGAAAGCGGACGAGGGGCTGAAGTGCAGAAAGATCCCACATGAACTATAATCTTCCGGGATTCGTGGTGAAAGAAATGCATTTTAAGTTTTATACACAGTGCTAGGGCAATAGAAGAACGACTTGAACAAGACCGAAAGCAGATCACAAATAAACCAAGGAAAAATAGCACGACGACAGGAAAAGAAGTCTATACAGCAAGCATGGTTTGCTAGCTGTGCTAGCAGAATAGTAGCGTACAGAATAAAATCAATCGGCTCGAATGCACAGCATTTGCCACTTTTTATTGAAAGTTTGAACAGTGGTCTGAATTTGACGGGGTATGTTCGCTTGAATGAGCCGGAAACAGGCGAGATAATCTAACCTTATGAGGAGCTCAGATTACGAAAGTTCCATTAACTAGTAGATAGTTTTGATTTGAGACCACAGAAATTTTATGACAAAGAACCATTGAAACAATTGCAGCTGATCTCTTACCATTCTATGCTGAACCCATTCGAGATGGTTGTATTTGATCAGACCTCCTATGTCCATTGTGAGCTGCTCAGCCCTCAAGAATCGCCTCAGCTCAACGGATGAATCGCATGTTATTACCTGAAGAAAGAATCACAATATTAATCATTTGGAGCTATCACAGTATACGGGGGCATGCTCTAAGGCTAAGCCAAGGAGGGAGCAGGAGCTCCGCGACAGAAAATGAAAATGGCTCACGCACTTTGGAGCAGGGTGAATAACGGTCGAGGAATTTCCTCGACCATAGCTCTCTACCATGCGAGAGTAGTGCCGAGAGTGAACATCCGCGCGGAGAGCACAGACGGCACGCGCATGGCGAGTGTGAATGTCCGCGCGAGAGATCGTGTCTGATCGGGCAGAGAATCCTCGACGTGCCGTTGAGGAATCCTCAAGCGATATTCACCCTGCCTTGGAGTCTCTCCTTCCCCGCCTCAGGCTTAGTCCCGTTTAAAAAAAACATGTTATGCAATTTTCAATGCATTGTCATCACAATGCCCCCGTATATTGCGATAGCGTCCTTTATTCTTCCTTAAGGTGTCACAGATCCTACTATCGATTTGAGTTCCTTTACTCGTTCCTAATGGCTATCATTTACTCAATTTATAGTTTTACTTTTATCTATACATTAGTTTTTTTTGCTCATAGTCACGTTATTGAACAAATTATCGGCGTTAAATGAAGAAGAACACAACGTTGAAAATTGTGATCAATCCGTGTGCAGACACATAAGAGGCTAAAAGTTACGAGTTAGGAAAATTACGACCTATTCTATTCTTTGAACTAGCTTTTTTCCGTTGCAAGGCTGTGATTTAAAGAAAACATGATAAATTTGAATGAACTAATTTCTTATTGTTCTTAATTGCCTACCTTGAAAGAACAATTTTCGGCTATTGCTCGATAACCAACTTCGAGCGCTCTCTGTAGTACACCTTCCGGTTTCAAGAGAAACACCACTCGTATCGTTCCAGGGAAGAATGACTGAAAAAGCTTTCTGATGTCTTTACTATAGCCGAACAAATTACAAGTGTGTGTGATTGTATTCGTGTGAATTTTGAAGAATAACTTTTGCAAACTTCGATATATAATGGACTCCGAAACGCCACGACCGCGCCATTTTGGTGTGACGAAATCAAATTTTTTTCCAAAGAAAAAGGTCGGAAGGTGAGGATACTGGGTGTCGAGCTTATGGTAGGTAGCGCTTGCACGGCAGAAAGCACGATTAACTGGGTGATAGGCTCTGAAGGTGCTTCAAAAGCCCCTTCGTTCCCTCCCAATCGCCGGCGTATAGAAGGAGTCATAACAGCAAAGCAATTGAAATAAAAGCGTTATCGTCATCGTTCAATTTTCTTTTTCAGGTACACCGGCAATCGAAGCGGCAACTACCTATTTGTGGCCGTTTGAATGAGGCCAGTGTTCGACTTTACACGAACGACCTCTATTTCGCCGGTAAACTCGTCCACTCCTGAATCCAACTGCTGAAATAAGGTTCAGTTTACGGGATTTTGACCATTTTTCTTCTCATTTTTTTTCAAAGGCGCACTTGGCTCTGCTTCCATCCTTCATCGGAACCTTTTTTACCATTGTCGCGCTCAAACTAAGTGGGTAGATGCGTTGCGAATGCACCATGGTTGTATGAAGGAAAGGTGCAATGGACCGCTCCCTTCATGCTTTTGATCGATCTGATCACATTTCACTGAACCCAGTCCTGTTGTTCCCAGTTGGAAATTGGAGAGGCAGCTCAATTAAATTAATAAAAGCTTTCTACACGTGTGACTCAACGCATCGAGGATCATTACGATGTTGTCCGAAGGATTGGCTAAGTCGAAGATTCTCTCTCTCCCTCTTTCTCTGAGAAACTGTCCACAATTGAATATTGAATATTTTAATAGCTAGGTAGCTGCTTCAGGATGCAAATCACTGAGTTCGACGACGACAAACGGCACAACGTCATTTTCAGGGAGAGTGAGGGGCATTCCAGGAATGTTTTGTGGTAGGACTTCGAGCGACCAAAATTATGCTGTTGTGCGCCAGAAGCAAATTTTTTGCACCTCTCCCTGTAACAGAGACAACTTTTGTCGCACTTTCAAAAAATTCACGACCTCCCCCTTTCCGGTCTCAATACGACCATGCGTTCAAATAGCTCCAAGAAAGGTGACCCTGCCCCGTATACACCAATGTAAACGAAAGCTGGGCCAAGGAAAACGACGATATGTGGTGGTTCAGTGGATAAGGGCGCGTGCCTTGAGCAACGTAATTGGGTTCCAAATGTAAAAGCTCCATTTCCAAAAATGGTTGCTTTCATCTTGTCGTGATTATCGTTCGATCCCCATTTCGAGAAAGCACCTCAGTTAGGAGTGGTAGCTTCCAATTTTGTCGTATCAAACTCCAACTACGTCATTTTACCATTACCACAGGAGTTACTCGCCTATAGTTCAAAATGCAAAAGGGATGAGGTTCTTCCTTGTCTCTCCTATCCTTTCGAATTATTTTGACATTGAATTCAGCAAGAAAAAAGAATATTATTTATTATTCGGGTTTGTTCAATGTAATCGATATGCATGCTCTAAACACTTCTAAACAGATTCACGGAGGAATGTGAGTAGGTATCTGACTTTCGATGCTATTATGCTTGTAAGTACCGGCTTGCATGGATTCAAATTTGCCTCTCCAGCTTTGAGCTCCAGTTCCAGCTCGAATCATCAAGTTTTACGCGCTCCTTTTAGCAATGTGCTCGCTCTTATTAGCGGTAATCCGCTGGGATTTAAGCAGAGCAAGCATAAAAAGAAGATTATTCACCTCCTATGGAATCGTCATTCCAATCGTTAGCAAGAAAAACACGTTCCACGCAATCAACTTCACAGGAGCTAATAAAATGGGGAATCCAGGCTGTTCGCGACTGGTTTCGATGACTTCAGCTCTCTGGGAACGATGAGGCTATAGAATTCCAGGACAGGAAGAGAAATGGAGTGATCTGCGTGAAGTCACACAGAAGCCTGACAAATGCAAATGGAGAAGTGCTAACTATACGGCAAGTGTGATCAGTTGCGAGACTCAGCCGCTCCGTTTCGTAACGATTCCGCTGCAACAACGCGGTCATGTGAATTGCCTCCATTCTCACAATCTAAGGAACATTCCGCGGTCACCTCGATGTAATTACAGCGTTTCAAATGAAAGTAGAGGCGTGAAGTGGATTGAAAGAAAAGAGAAATGAGAACAACGAAAACCTTCAGCACATATTTGTGGGAGATCAGCGCCATACATCAGAAACACATTGATATACTTCAAAACACAAGGACACTTGGTGCCGAAGAATAGACGAGAAAGCATAGGGAACAAGAGAATCGCAGACACTCGCTACGAAGATCACCATAAGCACAGGAGCGGCACCCCGTTTCACCAATGACAATGCGCTAGCCATTCCCGCACACAGATAACTCTATCCTAGTCGGGGCAAGGAAAGAAAAAAAATCTAACTAGAAGCAACCAAGGAAACATACGGTGATCTGGAGGAAGAGTGCCCTGACCGAAGACCATTTATCGTTTCGTCGATCCACAATCACCACAAAACCCTTGTGACTGTCTTCTAGTCTGGAATGATGAGTTTATTAGCACCGTGCTCATCTAATTTTTACTATTTTCCAAGTTTTGAACCTACGCAATATCTAACAATCACTATTTGAAACAAATGATGAAAAAGGAAGAAAAATTAGGATAAGTTAAATTAATTAGTAATAAGTTCGAAACAAAAATACTTATAGATTACAACGATCATCATTATTACAATATTGCCAGCACTTGCGATTAAGATGTGACGCGTGAGATGATTGCCTGTGATTGATCCCCTCAAAAAATGGGCGAATCAAAATCCCAAAACCTCACCGAGGATCGCAACCACTGCTGATGGACATCCGTTCAAAATACATGAAATATTTGAAAAGTAAAGAGTCTGAATAGAAGAGATACTCACGGTGGAACCTGCAGTAAGTAGGTTATCAAGGTCTGGTAATCCTCGAACGACAATACGGTTCGGGAATCTGGGAATGTGATTATCGACATGCCCTCATTGGTGCGAGCGCCTAAATCAATTCTCTTTTTCGGATTCTGCTTTCATAACGGGACTGGTTTCTGATTCATAGGGAAGAATTTTGGAGAAAGGTATGCTGCATCAGTGACGACAAAGACAGTAAGGTTCCAACTAAACGGTACAAAAATGGTGTTCATAGGAAGTCTAGATATTCTCCCACGAAACTCCGAAAGCATAGAAACGCTCATTTTAAAGATCAGGATGAAGGTAATACTCACTTGTAAGAAATGCATATCGCGAAGCGAGGATGTCTGACATGTCCTTAATCCGTACTCGATCCTCGCCAACGGTCACAAACCCATCTGAAAGAGAACAACTGACGAAAACTGAAGGCAAACTCGAGACCGATTTGAGATTTGAATTGTCCTTTCGAATGATATGAAAAGATGTACCCATTTGTTGTTTCAATACTTTCCTTCATCGCTCTGGCCTGAGTAAAGCGAAGCAATGAGGGATTATGTATTATAAGGGAAACCTAGCCCGTCCTGCCTTCACCCTGTTCTACCTACTACATATTGCCAAGCTGATAAGTGAATAAGTTCGTGCAAGTGGAAGGCTGGATTATTGACGAGGGGAATTGGCGTGCAAGGTAATAGTAACATAGCATACAAAATAGCCCAGGAGATACCGAATTCTATCTCATCTTGCTCTCCGATCTTTCCGAGGAATCGCACTTTAAAGATGTAAGGACGCGAATGAATGAATAACATATTCAAGGCTACGATAGGTTCTGGAGGGGTGTGGAGACGCTTAGAGGCAGCCCAAAGCGAAAAAAAAAACAGAGAAGTCGTCGCAAAAATTGGACTCCCTTGCAAGGCGGTTGATTTTAGCTCACAACTGCGAAAACGACGGTCGAATAGACGAGTTTACCGCAACGCGTTTGGTGGCACCATGCCAATCCATGCTCCAGTCGAGTTGCTCCAGTTGTGCCGCTGCTGGCAACACAGCTCGTCCAAATCACCAACTAAACTAGTGGGCGGATCGCTTTTGGGGCGGAGCGCTTTTCAAGTACTGCTCAGCAACCAGCGCACCTTTCGTTGTGAAGCGCCACATATGGTTTCCCTGGCAGCCAAGTGGGTGGGAATTACAGAGGGCCCGTTATTCATCGCACCCATTTAAGCTCGCCTCAAACTTAGGTGCGAAGACTAACAATAAGAGGTCACAGTGCTACGCACAAGTCTGTGTTAGTCGATTCAAACGAGGTTCATGTGGGAAAACCATCACTTGAGAAATTTATTGCAACCGAAGAAATAAACCAGAAAAATATAGTTTTGTTGTTCACGAATCTTGACTTTCTCCTGCAGAGGACTCTATCATACACAAGGGAGGGGATCAAAAAATCACTCCACCCATAAGGCATATCAGCAATCCTTCCATCGCCACTGGTGCCACCGTTGACGGAAGCTTTAACTTACATATTCTCCTTATTTACTTTGTTTTATTGACCTATTCTCCTTATTATCAAAGCCAAAAAACTTTTCTCGAACATTTTTTTGTTTTGCTTCCTTCACTGCTAGAACAAAAACGCGAAGAAAGTCATAGCGAACACATGGACCAGTTTTATTATAATTGCAGCTAAGCTTACGTCGATCCGCTGGCTAAGACCTTTCCCGCAGGAGAGCTTTTCCGTCGGGTTTTCAAGAATTTTTCGAATCAACTGTGACAGTGAACTTAACAAAAAACAATCCCATATTACTGGTTGATATTGATGCCCCTTCTTTTGACTAAAGTAGAGTGTCTTTTCAAGTTTTTCACTCCGCTGGTTCACCCTATATTGTAATGATAGCCTACCTATATTAGAAGGAGTGGGAATGGGGGGTTGGTCCACGGGAACGTCCTGCCTGATGCTTACAAGTGTTCTTGACTCACCTTACTCCAACTCATCCGTTAGTTCAACTGTTTAGTCAAAAAGTAGAAAGTGAATGTCGGCGGATTTGAAAGGACAAAACCACTGTGGTGTAAGTACTGCACTTGGAAAGAGGAGTTAGAAATTAAAAGTCAGCCCATTAGAAATCAAAGTAATGTGGTCGATGGGGGGATGAAGAAAAATTACGAAAAACGGCCACAGAACCCAGGATCCTTTCTTTGTCCATTTATATGCTCATTGTTGCGGGTCTCATCGGTGCTGCTCATTCGACGCTCACGCTCTCTGCCGAACGGCTAGAGTGCGATGGCGAAGGCTCACCTGTTTGCGGCCTTCAGCGGCGCGAGTGGCGCGGGTACCGCCTTACTAGGCCGCTGGGAGCAACCTTGCGCTGCGAAACGTCACGCTCTCTGAAGGGGGGGGGGGGGGTTGGCGCCTACCTTTCGACTAATACATTTCCCTTTCTTCGATCTCCAACCATGTCATGGTATCCTCTCTTAAGTTCACATTTCACTTACTTACTCTTACTCATTTCGTTTCATGAAGGCAACATCGCCAAACTGACTTTAAAAATTTTTGATAGTGGTTCTTTTAAGTTGTAATCATT